GGGGAGATTGCTGGGGAGATTCACTCTGGTGATCATAGCAACTGAGACAGGAAGTGATGGGAATTCCAAAATGTTACAGTTGTCACCAGAACAGGAAATTAGGGGAAATCATTCAATGGGACACCTGTTCTAAAAATGGGGATTTCCCTCCTTTTGAAAACATTTCCTCTCACTTCCTGTTGTGTCCACAGGACAGGAAATGAAGGGAAATCTCTTGAGTGGGATACAAAAGGCAGAAAAAAAACTTTGACTTTGGATAGAAAAGGGAACGCTATGAGCCCCCCAATATCGGGCCCCCAAGGGGGTGAGCAGGAGCCTCTATGTATCTGTATTTTACCCATTACACCGAGGGGGTCACACTAATATAACTAGTTTTTTTGTCATTTCGGATAGAACAGGAAATGGATAAATCTCCCGTCAATAATGTTTTTTTTGCTTATTTTCTTTATTGCTTTGTGGAGCTTTTTCCTTCACTTCCTGTTGCAAGGTGCAACAGGAAGTGAGAAGAGATCTCTCTCTCTTCCAAAGTGAGGGAAACCCCTCAGACAGTTGTCAGCAGAACATGCGTCCCCATTCGAAGGTCTCGCCTCTGTCCTGCTGTGGTGACAACTCAAGTTTGTCTGGGTCTCGGTGACACCAGAACGAATAGAAAAGATGAATCTCCCTCACGGGGGACACAGTCCTAACCCCTCGCCACTCCATCCAAACTAAACAAAATTGGCTTTAGACAAGCAAAGCAGGGGAAGGAATATCCCGGCACGGCTACAATATCCTTTCTTTATATTTTCTTTTGTTCCCGATTTACAAATCCAAACGAATCCAATTGTGTAGTCAGATGGGGAACTCCTATTCCTATTGGTACACAGCAGCCTTGAAGTCAGGAGGGAGGGGGAGGGGGGGCAAAGCAGACATGTCCGGCTTACATGAATAATATAGTACACGGTACAGATTGGTGGTAAATGATCTTTATACATTGTATACACTGACCTGAGGACGTGACGTTGGCAGCACAGATGGCGAGGGGTCCCAGCCGTCTCTATGAACATGAACGGGGTCACTCACCTCGGTGTACGCCTGTGTCACCTCCTCGTACAGTGACTGGTGATGATGGATGGCCATTTCCAGCGCTTGCATCTCCGAGGGCAGACCGCCGTCATTACACATCTTACACCACGTGTCCACGCCGGAGAGGAACTGCAACGACATCCGAGCAGCAGAGAGACATTGAATGAGAAGACGTTCTATATTCCTGGACATTGTATCCCCTCGTATCACAACAATGTATCAAACGGGGACACCGACGAGGACACGATTGGCTGTTCCTGCGTCCAATGCTCGCCTACGCATCAGGTGTCTTCACATGGACTGTTCATTAAAGTGCGACTGAAGACCAAACTTTATCTTTGGAGAGGGATTAGACCCCCTGTCGGGTTTCATTGCCGCCCGTTTCCCCGCGTAGGGAGATTTATCTCCTCTCTATCTCAGTGAATGTGATCAATAAAAGTTCCAAATTGTGGGTTGTCACCGGTACAAGGTTAGCGAATCGACCAATGGGGACGCTATATGTGGTCCTGCAGACTTACAGGGATTTCCTCTCACTTTCTGTTCTGACTATTGGATGGCGGGGTGGCGTGGTGGGGCC